ACGGTGGAGAAATGTAATCACATGCGCCGCATCTGCATCTGAAGCTTTTTCCGTTTTCTCTTTCTTTCTTTTTTTGACTCAGTGCACCGTCTCTGCACCAAGGCATGTTTTTGGTGATGACTAAAGCTCTCGGTCAGGACTGAAGACATGTCGCACACTGAGAGTTTCTCTTTGTGGTCAGCCGGAGTGTTAAACGCAGTGCAGAGAGTGTGACTTGAAGTGAGGCTGCAGACGGGAGATCACTGACAGATGGAGGTCAACAGGTGGGAGAGATAACAAACCTATGAAGGTTTGGTGGTCAAACGTTGCAACACCGTGAACGAGCCTATTTATTAAATCTGATAATCGCACTAACCATTTAAATCATTTTTTTCAACTTTCAACAATCGAAATAGCATCTGTAATGTTCCTGTAGCCTAAATAATCATCTGTGTGTGTGTGTGTGTGTGTGTATTTCAAACTCTGTCTTAATTATGTAGTTTACTTCCTCCTCCCACCTGCTGTAGTATGATTTCCTACCCTGCGGTCTCTTCTTCGTGAACAGTTTGCATTTTCCGGGGCGAGTGGGCGCGAGGTTGAAATGCAACTCGTACACATATTGCAGAATATTGTTTATTTGTCTGGAAAAACTCTTCTTAATGAACATAAACGTAAAAAATAACGTAAAAGTCCTTGCAAGCATTCAGAGAGCTGGAACAAGGACAAATGAAGGGGATTTGGAAAAGCGGGCGTGCTTGATATTACCGTAAGTGTACAGGAAGAGCACAGAGGGCGTGGGTGGGGGATCGCCTCTTGTGGTCCTCTTCACCGGCACAGCAGCAGGCATGACACGGCTTGTTTACAACGATGGATTCATTTTTCAATGTCATTGTTACTGAATTTAAATCAAATCTTACCAGAACTGATGTTTGGAATGAAAATGTGGAATTCAGCTCTACTTCACATTGTTGTTGGGCAAATTATTCACCATTTATTCATATTAATTTAACAGAATGACAATGAAAAGAAACCTCCTGCAGGAAGTAAATTTGCATTTGTCAGGTGCAACAAAGTACTGTGATATCAGCAAGTTTACAAATGTTGCGTTAAGGTTGCTACATAAAATAATTCCTGTGACCAAAAAAAGTGCAGATTTGTTGATATTTTTCCCCTGCCTTATTCATGGCTTAATTTGACCACATTATACGTCGATCTGTAATCAATCGTCACTGGAACACACAAACGTGCTGAATTGACGGCCGTTATTCTTCAGTGACTTATTAGAGTTATCTGATAAACACTCAAATAGTAATATTGTCTCATGTGAAAGTGTGATCCCACCCACTGTTTCTTTATCTACACAGTGCAAAGGTTCCTTTCGTTGCGTTTATTATTTAGGTCTGAATACATGTAGTCCCTTTTTTCAGGGAGTTCTGTTAACCCGCCACACTTTAGATTAGATTTTGGCAGATGGAACGAGAGTCGCCTTCAAATTTTGATGAACTTCTCTGCATCCTTTGCTGCTGCGAGTTAAGAACACAGCTAACAATGATCGAGAGACATGAGAGCTGCCTGCAATCATCCTTTCTAAAAAACAAAACATGTTGCTGAAACAATTAGTTTCTTTGTTTCATTTCATATTTAATGATTTTTTTTCAGGTTGTTCATCAGACAGCGAGACATCTTAAGATAAAACTGAGGTCTGCAGTAAATTGTAATCAGCATTTTTCATTTTATTGACTGTGTAGTGAAAATAACTGACTAGCTGACTGATCAGTCCTGTTGCAACACTATCATTTACTTATGAGGACTGAGACGCAGCGCTCCACTCGACAGAATTAAAGTGCAGAATGACGGATCAACACGATTCATCGCATTACAGCTTAACCAGAAATCCAAACCTATGTCGTAGAGACAAAGAACACAGCTGCTCGATCTCAGCTGCAGATTATTTTTGTCGACTCTTAGAATGTGAGCTTTCATATCCAACATGTGTTGTTGCACTTAGTCCACAGAATCAGTCTTCTTCACTAGCTATGAGGCGTCTCGAGGTAACTCTGACTTCCTTCTACCTCCTTCAGACACCATGCACAGTCATACTTTAAAATAATGAATAAAAACTCAATACGAAGATATATATATATGAAGACTATAATGTTTTATGTTGGGTGCTTTGTCCCTGCTTCCCTAGCCTGAGGAGGCTGTTTAAGATTCTCAAATGCTCTTTGTCGAGCAAGCTTTTTTTCATAATCCTGCACACCTGATCTACTCGAATGTGTAAAGGTGATTGGTTCAGGGGGAGCAGTAAAATACAAGACGCGTACATGAGTCAGGTGTGCAACAGTCAGGACGAGGATTAGAAAAGATATGAAGCAACATTTAATCATCACACACTCAGTATTTAAAAGTCATGTCTTTCAGCACTGTGGTTACAAAGGTTTATTTTAGAAGAAGGAAAGAAAAGAAACATTCCTTTATTCCTTCCACAGTGGGGAAATTATTCTCTGCATTTGACCCATCCCTGTGTATATATAGGGAGCAGTGGGCTGCCCATGCAGGCGCCCGGGGAGCAGTTAGGGGTTCAGTGTCCTGCTCAGGGACACTTCGACACAGGACACGTTGCAGCCGAGGATCAAACCGGTGACCTTGCGGTTGGCGGACAACCCTCTCTACCCAGTAAGCCCAGTAAGCCACGGTCGCCCCCCCAAAGTTTTTTTTTTTTTTTTTTACAAAGTTTCCTCTACATTGTATTCAAAGATAGCAATTAAAAAGGAGGTATAAAACAAAAACAAGCTTCCTCAAAACGGTGTAAAAGATTTGCTGAAATGTTAACATTCATAATCCAGAAATAATATAAAAGCTATTTCATAAATAATGTTAAAAAGCAAACCTACCACTGGTGCAGTCTCTCTTTGCTTCTTCTGGGCACAATGAGGGTTATTAGTTTGTCTTCAGCTCGTCTTACTCAGAGGTTTGTGAAAATAGGTTGCCTCGATAATGGTGACACATTCTTGACCTTTAAGCATTAATAATAAAATCATCTTTTACCAGCAACAGCCAGACTTTCAGCGCTTCGATGTTTTGGAAATTGATCATTTTATGGGAAAAAGAAAAGCGGCAGCGGAGCAGTGGGAGTATTGAACAGACTGTGATGTGAATGTTTAACCACAACAGTAGGGGAATAACACTGCTGAGGGGCTGTGAAGATATTATAGGCCATGAAACTGCCATTGTACAAAAACATCAAACTCCAATAGGAAAGTTTTTGTTCTAAAATCAAACATCCACCGTTTGAAAAGACGCCCACTCTTCCGAAATGACTGCTGTAACCCATGAAAACAATTTCAAAGTTTGAAACAACACTTTCTAAGAGCAAGTGATTAGCTCGAGGAGCTTTAAAAGGACGTTCTACAATAATATCAGCACATGTTGAAAAATTAACGTCCACAATGTGGAAAATTGTCTTTGGCTTCACCAAAATCAACATGAAATACAAATAAGACTACAGTAGTAAGAAACAGTCAACACTTTAGGAGAGCTTGGAGTTCCACGAACATAAGACACGTGCAAAACACTAAGTGCAAAAACAAAAAAAGGTAACAAAAAGGGTCTTGGGAACACAGCACCGTGACGGCCTCGCTTTCCGTGGATTCTACGGCCTGAAACAATGCGACACGCCAACAGCCCCTTAAAATACAGGCTTTCCCCTGCAGTGTCTCCTAACACGTAGGAGGCTGACGAGAGCCATATCATCAGCAAATAATTGAAAAGGAATCTGAACGTTGGATTCTGAATTCACTGGTAACCACCGGAAATGATAACGGTGGTAGAATGGTACTTTGGGGCTCACCTGTTTAAAATGGGGAGTCCTCACACATTGCCATGAACGGTCAGACAGAAAATCTCCACTCAGAGTTTCAGCAGTGCTTTTCAGCTCTCACCTGGTGTGTGCTGTACTTTGAACTCCAACAACGTAGATGGATTTGAGCCACAGGGGCTAACATGAAGTGAACCTTTGAAATACAGGCCTTTTGATTTGGCTCATCTATATCAATTCCAAATTTCAGTTTGGCAGATGAACAAAATGAGAGGAATGCATATCAATTCCATATTCTGGCACTTTGAATCTGGTTAAAAGTGAAGCCAATTGTATTATTTTACTCCGAGTCATACATGTTCAAAAATAAATAAATCGTATGAAGTACCACTTGAAGGACCTATCGTCTGGGAAAGTTGTCAATTTTTATGTGCGGAATATGTTAAAAATGAAAAAGGACATCTCGTCTTGGGACAAAACTCTTCATATTTTCCGCCCGATGTTCCTCCGCTGTCTAGAACAGCTTATCAGAACTTTCACAATCAGTGGCAAGCATCCTCAAAATTCGAGACAGCCGTCTGACGGCTCGGAAAATCACGTCACTGCAGTATCCTGTTTATTTTGACAAGGCATGGTGTTTTGGTCAAAATCTGTGTTCCGCTAGAATTAATCAGCAGGAACATCTTTCCTGTAACGTGATCAGAACATGTCAGTACGAGACAGTGGTACTGTATCCTCTACAGACGACGATGACTGGGTGCAGTAGCTCAAAACATGAAGTGAGAGTGACTTTTACTGAGTTACTCATCTCAAGTTCACGCTCGTCATTTCTGTCTACAATAACATAATTCTTGTTAGTCGACATCAACTTAATCATTTGACTTTCACTGTCTGTTCCCCGACATCGAACAGTATTGTCATGCATCGCTGTGCACAACGCACCGCAGCGTACAAAGTGAAAGAGACATTAAACTCTTGCAGTCTGACTCTGAGGAGCTACGGAATGCATGTAAAAGTAACAACGGACAAATGTGAGGAACTATATTTATTTTTCTTGCATTGTAGAAAAATCCGTGCAAAAATACAGCATGTTAAAACATTTATTCGCAAACTACACAAATCTGTCTCAAAAAGGTCTCAGAGAAAAGCTGCTACATGAACTTAATAACAAAGATCCCAGATCAAGACCGGGACACACAACGGGTTCAGTAAAGATTGGTCTTCTTCATTATCCTCAAGAACTCGTGCTCATCCACCTCACCGTTGTCATTTTGATCCGCCTCGTCGATCATTTCCTAAAAAGGATAAGAAACGAAGTCTGAATGTTCAAATACAAAAAAAATGACAAGTGCACTGAGAGCTTTTCTCGATGCATCTGGTGTGATGGACCAGAAAAACTCCATCCTGGGAATTTTAGTCCACAGAAATAACCAACAACTGCTATTTCAATAGCATGAGTAAGAACATAACAACATAAAGGGAAGTAGGAGACAGATGAGTATCAGTCTTATTTGTGAGCTTGGGTATAATGTAACGCCGTTTAATGAACCGTTTACTGTTACCAGTGCTGAGAAATCCAACCCAATGTTTAGTATTCATTATTTCTCAATATTGGTCATTTATTTCTAGCTTCCTGAGATATCCTCTGAAGGTATTGTTTAAGGCATTCTGTCTAAGGCATTCTGCTACAATTCAAACAATTTATGTAACTTTATCAAAGGCCACATTCTGCTCACTCTTCTGTGTCTGCAGCAACCACTTCTCTGTTGTTGTTGTTGGGCTTTTTAAGAAGTGTGTTCCTAAACATACTGCTCCATATTCAGGTTTTTTTTTTTTAACGTCAGAACTCTACTTGCCCGATTGGGCCAGTGAGTTGCTAGATTTATTTATTTACAAGCATTTTACTTGCCCCGTGAAATCAGGAAATCCTTATTGTTGAGCCTGATATTCCACACAAAGAGTGCATTTAACATTAAAAAGATATGCAGTGCACACATTATATGCAAAGGTACAATATCTGCTGAAACTATTCTCAATCATCAAACATGAGAGCAGTTTGAGGAAAATAAACCCTCTTTCCAGTGAGTATTAAATAAACGGTTAAGAATGAATTAGTAAACCTCGAGGTAGTTCAGAAGGAGGAGGCGTAGGGAGCTACTGACAGACGCAGTGAGAGCATCGACAGCCTGCATCGAGAACTGCAAAACAGAAACTATGAAGAGATTGTCTCGAGGAGGTTATAGGCTCCGTTTTTACAGTAAAGAGGAACTCTCTTTGTCTCGTATATAAAAAAAAAAAGAATTGCAAAACAGCAATCAATTCAAAAGCTGATGACTTGTACATGAATGCACCAGTAAACCTACCATTGCAAAGGCATTCCCTGTCACTAAAAGAAGTGCTCAGATGTTGCTCTTATTAATAGCTTTATTGGATATCTGTCGCCAGATTGTGACATTTCTACACATGTGCATGGACCACCAATAAGTAATTATATTTAGTATATGGGAAACATTGCACGTCATCAGAGAACACGATACCTGTAATTCCTCATCCGTGAGGTTTTCACCCAGCTCCTTGGCAACTCTCTTGAGATTTTTGAATGTGATTGTTCCCGTGCCGTCATCATCAAACAGCCGAAACGCCTTCATTATTTCTTCTTTGGAGTCTTTTTCACTCTGTTGACAGCGACATGACACATAATATATGCCTCAATTAATACTTTTTTTTTTTTAATCTAATGTATTTTCTGTGACTGTTGAAAAGTGTGCTTTGCATGAGTGGTGTTTATGTTACAACATAAGTTAATGAGAAGACATACTGTTGTTTTGAGAGCAACACAGAACACAGATTTGTGACTTCATGAGTTGTTCGTCTTTCCAAGATTAGAAATGACCAATTTTAATTTCCTAGAAGTTTCCAGTATTTGTCTGAACAACTGTATAACACGCTCACCATTTTCACAGTCATCATATGGAGAAAGTCATTAAAGTCGATTGTTCCAGAGCCAACTTTATCGATGTCTGCAATCATCTTCCTGATCTCTTCTTTCTTTGGTTCAAACCCGAGCGCTCTCATGGCCACCTGTGGCACAGATGGACGGGAGATCTGTTATCAGCTTCATCACAACACGCACGCACACGCACGCACGCACACACACACACACACACACACACACACACACACACACACACACAC